ACGCAATGAAACCACGTTCGGTCGAAGGATAACGCAGCAGACTTGACCTCGAGGGGAACCCTGAAGTTAAGCGAATGGAGAGCGTGGGTAGGAGGACCGGATTTTCTCCTGCAAACCGACTGCTCCTGGGTAGACGGGTATACCCCAACGGAAAGCATGGCAAATGTGGAATTAAAAAGCCAAGTAGTTCCATAAATGCTACATCAACAAACCCCGCGAACCCACTGCTGGCGTATTTTTCGATTTGGGCCAAATTACTGAAGGCAATAGCTTGGCCGGTTCGTTTCAAATGCTGGTTACTATCCCGTCACAATGAGTATCGGGTATTTGCTAGAGGTCCGCTGTTAGTTTCCGAGATAGAAGGTGCCAAGAAAGACATCCTGCGCATGGTGTAACGCGAGACGTTCAGCAACAAACTGACAAACCTTAAAGCGTGCAGCAATCGATCGACCCACCTTAGGCACGCATGGAAAAAACAAAACCCAATCCGTCGCCTTTACCCAACTCTGATCGAGGGAATTATCTGCGTCGGAGGGCGGTTGAACTACACGGACTGCGAGGAGAGTTTGAAGCACCATGCTATCCTTCCCAGTAGGCACCCAGTTGCTGAGGCGCTGGTGCGTCATTTCCACGTCTCAGAAGGCCACGGTGGAGTGCATCACGTGCTAAGTGCGAGCCGCGCCAAGTACTGGATACTGCATAGAGCTAAACTAGTGAAGCGAGTGGTCGGAAGCTGCACACGCTGTTGGAAGCGCACCGCCACTCCGTACCAGCAATAGATGGCACCATTACCCGTGCCAGGGCGAAACTTGGTTGATTTCCTTTCAAGAATGTGGGTGTGGATTACTTTGGCCCTGTTGTTGTAAAGCGAGAAAGGACTGTGGAAAAGAGCTTTGGGTGCATATTCAGTTGCTTGCAAACCAGGGCAGTGCACTTGGAAGCAGCCCACGACCTCTCGACTGATGCATTCATAACGGCCTTCATCCGTTTAGTCTGCAGACGGGGCTGCCCATCAGAAATATATAATGACAACGGAACGAATTTCATCGGGGCGGTTAAGGGCTTACGTGATGGTGTTAAAAATGGGATCAAAAACGGATTGACGGAGAGCTATGCCTTCGTGGTGCGCAATGGCATTTCAATCCACCATTTGCAAGTCACAGGGGCGGGGTGTGGGAAAGAATTATCCGCTCTGTAAGGAAAATATTGTACGGCGTATGCAACGAGCAACGCCATACTGATGACTCCCTAGCCACTGTATTCGTCAAAGTAGAACGGATTCTAAACAATCGCCGGCTAGTTCCACCCACCTTTGATAGCCAAGATGCTCCTCCGTTAACCCCGAATAGCTTACTTCTCATACGATGAGAAAAATTGCAGCTACAAGACATCGACATCAGAGACAGGTATACTAAGCGCTAGAAGCAAGTAGCCCACGTAGCCACGGGATTCTGGAAGAGATGGTTAAAAGAATACATAACAACATTACAATCTCGACAGAAGTGGCAGATTCCGACCAACTCTGTAGAAAAAGACGAATTAGTTTTGGTGGCTTCCGAGAAACTACCAAGGGGTTGTTGGCCGCTGGGTCGTCGTGAGTTGTGAAGCCAGCAATGACGGTTTAGTAAGGACGAAGTACATTAGAACGAACTCAGGTATATTAAAAAGAGATGTCATCAAGGTGTGCCGCCTGGAGGGCGATGAGTAGCATCGCTTGAGTCTGGCTTGGTGTGCAGTCATGGAAAACGGCTTTCATCCATGCGCTTCGATGCTTAAAGCCGCCCACGAACGGCGCTTGGTGGGAGTCATGGAAAACGGCTCCTGCCAAGACGCTCTCGTGTGGTTGCGTTGCTTTCCCTTCTGTTTTTCTAAGGAGCGCCACTGTAGGCAGTTGTAGGACAGAGAGCCAGAGTGCAGTCGGGGACGCACGTGATGTCAATCGCAGCAGAATTTCGAAGGCAGTGTAATGCGCTTATCTACCCATGAAATTCTTCTACTCTTCGCTTCGTGGTCTAGTATACAGACCTTGGCCCATCAATTGTGGATAGCGACCAGCGTTCACGCGCGCCTCCTTACATTCCCGTTGTTGGCGTTGTAGCTGTGTCTGTGTGTGCATGCTACTCCCCGGCACTGGTTCCGTGCGTGTGCGGCTACCGACGACCTTGGATCTCCAACCCTACTCTTCGCCGAACCTGACACGTTCAGCCCGGAGCATGTGTCGCACCCCTCCCCCGTTCACCGGTCGCTCGTCCAAACACCATGTTTATGCGTGCCATTAACCTCTCACCTTGTAATTGAACCATCCATTGATTGGTCAACGCCATTTTTCTTAATACTCGTAGCACTCAGGTGTAGTGACTTGTTCCATTGATTGTCGGGCGTAGACAACTCGTTCCCTGCAATTGTTTACTGACACCATTTTGACAACTTGCATACACCGGGATACTGAACAATAGAAGTATGTCCCAATTCTCAACTGTATATATTTTAATAGTACCGTAGTATTTGTGATCCGACTTGTTTTGATTTCGGGATCTTTGGCTGCGCGTTATTCAACGTTCACGGTGGACGTTGCATACTTATTCATGGGTTAGGTGGCCGCTAGAAGTAATAGGCAGCTGTTTTTATTCGGAAGGTGGTCCCGTTGTTAGAGTAGTAGCGCAAACTGCTAACGGGTTATATAAATGACGTACGGGAAATCCGTTTGCTAGTAGGAAGTGGCCTACATGCAAAAATAACCCCGGCCCTTGACCCTCCGCAGTTGGACGGCGCGTTCCCTGACTTGTTGCTCCAGGGAAGACCACGGTGAACGCAACGGGCCGAAATGAGAGGCAGGCGTACCGTTGTAACTCTTGTATCTGCCCATCGTTGATGGACTGGGTTTGAGTGAACCAGAAAAGTACCGCAATGGCGTCCAGCAATGCAACTTCCGGACTGAATTTTGAGAGACAGTGTAGAGAAAATTCGAACGTCGTGATCACAATTCCCCTCTATCTGCCTTTCCCTTACCCACTAGGTTGACTATACCTCTCCATTTCTTTGTGAAAATCAGTCACCAACTCCTTCCGTCCCACCTTCCCTAAAATCGTTGGTATCTCGCATTCCCACAATTCTAAATTGCCTCTACACTTTTGCTTCAGGTGCCTTCTCTGTATTAAAGGACATAAACCCATACGAATCATCCGACCCCGGTAATGTGCAACCAGCTATTGTTCAACCGATTGCTGACATACTCCAGCTTCCTATTCTTGAGTTGCACAACATGTCTCTTCTTGAGGGGAAGTTACGAAAGGATGGTAAAGAAGTAGTTGTAGTGGCGATCATAAGGGTGGTACTATATCTTCACTCAATAACTACCGGCCTGTTAGTCTGACCATCGTTTTTCCAAAATGTCTAGCGAAGGTCATGAGGAATCGAATCTGTGAACATCTTGCGGCCAATAGCTTGATCGTAGCAGAACAGCATGGCTTCGTCAAGAAAAAACTCTGGTTTTACCTATCTGCTGTATTTCCTCGATGAAAAATTCGATGGCTCGAGAGTAGCATACCAGTAGAAGGATGTTAACTTGATTTCAGTAAAGCTTTTGATTCGTTTTACTACCGTTTTTGTTAGAAATATGTCTATGTTTGGAATCCCACATCAGCTGCTTTCTTGGCATACCTTTATGGTGCCACATTCCGAGTCATGGTTGGTGACGTTATTTCGACGGGAGGCCCTGCTCACGGTGGGGTTCCCCAGGGATCAGTTTTCGGTCCGGTACTATTTCTCATGTTTATAAATAACTTGGTCCCTCTACTTGAAGACTCCATCTATATGTTTGCTGACGACTCGAAGCTATACTGCAGGGGAGATAGGGATTTGTTATATAGAGATGTTGCTACCGTTCTTAATTGGTCACATTGGCGGGACGTACCACTGCACACCAGCAAATGTTACGTCCTAACCCGCATGATGAAGAGTTTACCATGCACACATCTAATGGGTCCCTAACGTTGCAGCATGTCACCGAGGCAGGTGATCTACGTGTCATCGTGAGGAGTGCATTTAATCCCTCGGCGCAGTGCAAGCATGCGGCTAATAAAGCCCGACAGGGGTAAGTTTATCGCATGAGAGTACTGCTACGTGGTGGGTTTTCGCCTGGCAAGCGTTCTCCCTATAAAAAGCCACAAGTGTCCGCTTAACAACACTGCGACGTGGCGGATGTGACTCGCCACTGAATAAAGTCACTGCCCACAACTACATACTGGCAAGCGGACCTGAATCCTCATGTAATATTTTCCTGACAAGTTTTCTCTACAAACGGAATGCCCAGCCTGTTTACACTACGCCCACTATAACCCAACTTGTCGTAATGTTTTGACGAATTAATACCTCAAGATTAATTTTACAATTTCCAAAGCTTGGACCACTTTCGGCTTATTGCCGATTACATACATAGCAACGTGTTTGTTGCGAAACATAAATTGCTTGTAAACGTTGATCATGCCTGGTCAGGTGTGTCTCGGAAATTCGAGAATATACTATTTATTTATTTATTTATTTATTTATAGAGTCACACCAACTCAGGCATGATCAAGTTTTAAAAGCAGATGTGCATCACAACGATACATCGGGTTCAGTCGTGGGTAGTTGCAACGGTGTCGGGAAGAGTTGATATGTGAGTCTAGTTGACTTGCCAGTATGTAGTTGTGGGTTGTAACTTTATTCAGTGGCGAGTCACATCCGCCACGTCGCAGCGTTGTTAAACAGACATTTGTGGCTTTTTATAGGGAGAACGCTTGCCAGGCGAAAACCCACCACGGCCTGCAACACTGCCGTAACGCATTTTGAACATTAGCGTTGAACTGGCAAAGCTGCTTGACGACTGGTTTTACCTTCGGTTTTTCGCGGAGTAATGGCTTCTGATTATCTCTGTTAGTTGGACAGGTAATTTTATCTGGGTCGCCATGATTTTTGAGGTCGGTGGAGGAGATGGACATCGTGATTATTCTTCTTGTAATATGTCCAGGTGAGCAAAAGTATAACTTTTCTGCTGTCCAGATTTTTCAGATGTATAATGTCTGGGAGTATGAGGAAATGTCCAGTTCTTCATACTTGGCAAGAGTTATGGTGATTGCAGTTCGGTCCTTTCGAAGTTCTACCACGTTCCAGGTAAGTCCTTGTAAGTTGTTACGTCCGTCTTGGGCCAAAACTGTTCCTCAGTCCAATCCCAGATCTCCAAGAAGTCACGGACCTCAGAGAAAATGGAAAGTGAGGAACAACTGAGCGAAGACCGTAAGAACAGGCATGGAGTTGAACATTGTTAATGTCTTGTGTTACCACATTTGCGCTTGAGACAAAAGCATGTACACTGTGCCACAATAATTATGCTGAAAACGTCTTTTGAATATCCTATGGAATCATTAGCCGTATAGGTGGATTGCTATCGCCTGCGTAGAGAAGAGCATTGTACCAGTACGTAAAGTACGAATTATCGGTTTTCGGATGAGCCAATAATTGCCTGGGGATGGAGCAAAGAGAGTTAGAATGTTGGTAGTGATTGTCCGGTGCATGAACGTCACGTAGTTAGCGGAATCCGGGAGGGAGGACAAAATAAGCGAAACTAAATAGGTTGCCGCGAGAGAGTCCTAAAGCTCAATTGTTGGCAGGGCAGCGGAAGGATTGGATGCAGATATTCTAAAGAAATAAAGGTTATTGAGATACGGAGTGACTCCTAACAAGCACTGAATCATCGCATATGCATGGGACCAATGGTCACTAGCTACTTCTGAACAGAGATGCCGAATTTACGACGATCGACAGATGGTGACGCTAGGAGAGTCTCAGAGCCAGATGTAGCCATTCCAATCAGACGCTTGGTCACTAGTGTATGCCTATAGGGTCGCTGAGTGTATCAACAGGCCAGCGAAG